TACATATATATGTATAAGTGAGTGCTTTATATAGTTTATCACAAGTGTGCACAATATATGCGTAAACAAAATTTATGCACTTTATACTAATCACATGTTGCACAATATAGCACTTGTGGCACTTTAAATCATTTTGTCTTAAAGGCACAGCGCACCTAATTTTAGAGTTTTTATATTTTCTGTGTGTTGGTTTAAGCTTTAACACTATTTTCTGTATTTGTATTATTTTAGGACTATATTTTCACGTGTGTGTGTGTGTGTGTGTATGTGTGTGTATGTATGTGTGTGTATATGTGTATATGTGTGTATATATATATATATATATATATATATATATATATATATATATATATATATATATATATATATATATATATATATATATATTCAAGTATAAGTCGAGACCCCAAATTTACCACAAAAAATGGGAAAACTTATTGACTCGAGTATAAGACTAGGGTGGGAAATGCAGCAGCTACTGGTAAATTTCTAAATAAAATTTAGAACCCAAAAAAACTAAATTAATTGAATATTTATTTACAGTATGTGTGTGTGTTTATGAATGCAGTGTGTATGTGATGCAGAGCCTTGCTGGGGGTTGGGCATTTTTATAAATTTTTTTTAATATTATTATTTGAAATTTTTTTATATTATTTTTATTTTATTTAAATTTTTGTTTTGTTTTTTTTCGTCCCCCCTCCATGCTTGTTAGCTGGCCAGGGAGGGGGGCTCTCATTCCCTGGTGGTCCAGTGGTGTGCACTGTGTAGGAGGTGGGACTGGCAGGAAGCGTTTACTTACTTTTCCTGCAGCTCCTGTCAGCTCCCTTCTCTCTCGTCCGGTCAGCTCCCCTGTAAGTCTCGCGGTCTGAGTTCCGCGCGGAGCTTACCGTGGCAACGATCTGACCCTGCGGCTCTCGCGACACTTGCAGGGGAGCCGACCGGACCGGAGGAGAGAGAAGGCAGCTGACAGGAGCTGCAGGAAAGGTAAGTTACAGCTCTATGCCAGCCCCCAACAGGACCGCCGGGCTTGTAATTAGTGATGTCGCGAACATGAAATTTTCGGTTCGCGAACGCGAATTTCGGCAAATGTTCGCGAACCGGGCGAACCACCATAGACTTCAATAGGCAAGCGAATTTTAAAACACGCAGGGACTCTTTCTGGCCACAATAGTGATGGAAAAGTTGTTTCAAGGGGACTAACACCTGGACTGTGGCATGCAAACTCTGATCCACGGCTGCATCTTGCAGCCGCTTAGTAGATAACTCCCTAATTCCCACGGTATTAGAGCTATCTACTAAAAGGCTGAAAGACCTAAATTGGTCTTTCAGCCACATTTACTAATACTAAGTAAAGATTACTTAGTATTAGTAAATTATGCCCCTACTCGCTATGCAGCGAGTAGGGGCATGTCTAGTAAGCAGTGAGCAGCCAGTGGCTGCTCACTGTAAAAAAAAAAAAAAAAAAGTAAACATATTGCCCCACCGTGCACGTGGGTGGGGGCCATAACATAAATGGGGAGGGACTCCTACTGTCCCTCCCCCCAGCCCCCACCTCCCTGAGCAGCTGGTGTGGAGGCCCTAAATATTTCAAAAAGGAGGGGGACCTAATGTTCCCCCCCCCGCCCCCCACCCTTAGCGGGTGGTAGCTCTACCCCCCCTCACCCTAAAAATAATGAGGGGGGACCGTTAACTAAGTACCTGTAAAAAAAAAAAAAAAAATAAATAAATAAATAAAACTTACCATTCGATGTTTTCTTTCTTCTAAATCTTTTTTCAGCCCCAAAAAAGGCAAAATAAAACACCATAATAACCGATGCAATTAAAAAAAAAAAAAGCGCAAAAAAAATTATCCATCTTCACCCGGCGAGGGCTCCGCGCAGACTGAGCTCTGCAGGGCGGGGGAAGGCTTATAAAGCCTTGCCCCGCCCTGCAATTAGGCTCAGAGCACTCTGATTGGTGGGGTTAAGCCATCCAATCAGAGTGCTCTGACAGGTAAATGAAGAGACTGGACAGGTAAGTTCTACATTTACCTGTCACAAAGTGGCCCTGATTGGCTTAAACCCACCAATCAGAGTGTTTCTGTCATTTTACACAGCGTGGGAAAGTTCTTTAATTTTCCCATGCTTTTAATTTCTGACTTCATAATAAATACTCTGATTGGTGGATTTCAAACCAACCAATCAGAGTGTTGTGACAGGTAAATGTAGAGACTTACCTGTCAGTCTCTTCATTTACCTGTCAGAGCACTCTGATTGGATGGCTTAAACCCACCAATCAGAGTGCTCTGAGCCTAATTGTAGGGTGGGGCAAGGCTTTATAAGCCTTCCCCCGCCCTGCAGAGCTCAGTCTGTGCGGAGAAGATTTCGAAGAAAGAAAACATTGAATGTTTTTTTATACAGGTACTTAGTCCCCCCTCATTATTTTTAGGGTGAGGGGGTAGGTAGGGGGTTAATTATTTTTTTTGGGGAGGGGGTGACGGCGGGTTTGGGGACCCCTACTACCTGGGGGACGACTCACTTTTTATTTTTATTTTTTTTGGCCCCCACCCGCCACTCAGGGGTGGGGGCTGGGGGGGAGGACATTAGGTCCCCCCCCCTTTTTAGTATTTAGGGCCCCCACCCGCCGCTCAGGGGTGGGGGCCAGGGGGGAGGACCTTAGGTCCCCCCCTTTTTTAGCATTTAGGGCCCCCACCCGCCGCTCAGGGGTTGGGGCCGGGGGGGTATTTAGGACATTTAGGTCCCCCCCTTTTCAGTGGGGGCCATTAGGTAGGGCCCCCACCCACCGCTCAGGGGTGGGGGCCGGGGGGGAGAACATTAGGTCCCCCCCCATATCATTGAGTAAACTTTGACAACCCCCACCCCCGAGCGGCGGGTGGGGGGGTTGTCAAAGTTTACTCAATGATATGGAATATGGGGCGGACCGAACATCGCATATGTTCGCCCGCCGTGGCGAACGCGAACATGCGATGTTCGCCTGGAACTATTCGCCAGCGAACTGTTCGGGACATCTCTACTTGTAATGAGCCCGGAGTTCCTGGTCTGTATTATGGCAATGTAAGTTGCCATAATACAAACATTGACTCGAGTATAAGACAAGTGGGGGTTTTCAGCACAAAAAAAGTGCAGAAAAACTTGTCTTATACTCGAGTATATACTGTGTATGTGTAAAATACCGGCACTCAAGGATTTTCTGAAATTCACTACTCCATTTATTGTGGAAGAATCAAAATTGACGTTTCAGCTCCTCTAGGGAGCTTTCATCAGGACACAATTATTCTTAAAACTGAAAATACATTTTATAGGACATGCAATAACGGAGTACTTACATTCAGCTGGTGTTCATTACCTTCAGCCGCCGGGAACGCCGTGTCCGCCTGTTTAATTCAGGATTACTTCCTGGTTAGTCGGTCATCTGACCACATATGGCGTAGATTTTGATTCTTCCACAATAAATGGAGTAGTGAATTTCTGAAAATCCTTGAGTGCCGGTATTTTTCCTTTTTCTACAATTGAGCTACCAGTGCACCAGGTACCACTTTCTTTTTTGTGTTGGAGTGCAGGGGTTTCTTCTATTTTTTTTTATTATTATTTATATTTATTTATATTTATTAGTATCTATATATAGATTTAAAATTTTCTTATAAAAAAAACAAAAACGCTAACTTTGGCCAGCTTTGTGACTAAGTGGCTATTACAAAAGACTGGACATACCCCAATTTGAAAACCCTGGGTTGTCTACATTTGAAAATGGTATGCCATGATGTGGTTATTTTACATTCCTTGGCTACCATATGTCTCAAACGGCAACACAGACCCAGCAAACTGCATAAGGCAAGCCCTATATTGACAATGTAACTTTCCAAAACACCATAAAACCTGTACATGAGGTTTATTATTATACTCAGGAGTCTACGCTGAACACAAATATGAGTGTTTTAAACAGTAAAACTTATCGATTAAATCACCAGTAAAAGTGCAGTTTTTGTGTAAAAAAAAAATAAAAAAATAAAAAAAATTGCAAAAAACTAAAATGAATGCTAACTTTGGCCAGCGTTTGTGGCTATGTGGATACTACTAAAAACTGGACATTCCCCATTTTGAATACCGTGGGCTGTCTACTTTTACAAATGGTATGCCATGAATGGGTTTATTTTTATTCCTGGGCTGCTGTACAGTTTCAAAGGCAAAATAGGCCCAGCAAACCAATCTGGCAAATTTCAATGTGCAAACATGGAAAAGGGGAAAGCCCTACATTTGACTCCTGTAAGTTTGCAAAAACCATAAGACCTGTACATTGGGGGGACAGTTGCACTCGGGAGATGTTGCTGAACGCATATTTGGGTGTTCTTTGTTAGTAACACCTAACAGGAACTGAGAATCCATGCCTAAAGTACAATGTGAGAGAAAAATAACACAAAAAAATGACTACCCTAAAGTTTGACAAAGACTGGTGGTAGAATTAGTGCATGGAAAGTGTTAAAATACACCATTTAAAATATCCTAAGGTGTGTACTTTTCAAAAATATATGGTTTGATGGGGGTAAATTACATTGGCCAGCTTCAAAAATGTCCCAAATAGGACATGGGTGCATGATGACAGCTGTAAAAATTCCAAGTTGGAAAACTGGAATGCGCACCCTCCAAATAAGGTCTTTTAGTCCCCATAGAACCCGACACACCTATACATGGGGGGGTTTCACTGTATGCAGGAGATGTTGCTGAAAACATATTGTGGTGTTCTTTAGTAGTAACCCTTAAGGTTCTCCATACATGTATTCTATGTAAAAAAAAAAAAAAAAATTACCAATAATTTTTTTTTATTTGTCATAGATTGATGGTAAAATGGTTGCATGAAAAGAGTCAAAATACCCCAAGTTTAATACCTTAGGTGGTCTTTTTAAAAAAAAAAAAAAACATACATGTTAAGAGTTATTCAGGGATTCCTGACAGATATCATTGTTACAATGTAACTTGCGTTTATTAAAAAAAAAATGGTTTGGAAATAGCAAAGTGCTACTTGTATTTATAGCCCTATAACTTTCAAAAAAGCTAAGAACATGTTAACATTGGGCATTTCTAAACTCAGGACAAAATTAAACTATTTAGCATGGGTGTTTTTTGGCGGTTGTAGATGCGTAACAGATTTTTGGCGTCAAAGTTCAAAAAAGTTTGTTTTTTTACTTTTTTTCCATCATATTTTATAATTGTTTTTATAGTACATTATATGATATAAAAATAATGGTACCATTAGAAAGACCATTTAATGGATAGAAAAACGGTATATAATGTGTATAGTAAAAGGAAAATTAGAGCTAAACACAAACACTGCAGAAATGTAAAAAGAGCCCTGGTCCTTAACGGTAAGAAGATGTCTGCTGCATACCTGTTCGTTTGCGCAGTGATATTGTCATGTGGGAAATGGTTCATTATTTCATGCAACGCTGAAAAATATGGTATTGTGCTGTGTTTGTGACAACTGCCTTAGGAAAAGTTGCAGCTCTGTTCCAAAGGCTTTGAGGAGTGAATAAATCTGGTTCACTGTTGTATCTTTCCCCTGAAGACTTGTGTTCAGTACATTCAAATGCTTTGTTATGTTAACTAAAAACCACAAATCAGCCAGCCAAATAGGATCAGATAGTTCTCGTATTGGTTGTCCCTTTGTTTCCAAGAATTCTCTGATTTCCTTTCTGAGAGTAGAAACGCTGCAGTGCAGACCCCTGACTGAGTCATCTTTCATCGTTGCGATATAAAACATTTTCGTATTCAGCCTGGATGTCCAGTAGAAACTGTTTATACTGGCGGTGGCACAGGGCTTTTGAGCGAATAAAATTAATAGTCTTTAGCACCGGTTTCATAACATGATCATATTTGAGATGTTTTACACCCTGTTCCAAATTATTATGCAAATTAAGTGTCACAAAAATTAAATATTTTGTTTTTCAGTTTAACTCATGGATGGCATTGTGTCTCAGGGCTCT